TTTCTTAATGGTTGGGATGATTGCTTTTGGTTCTGCATTTAAGGTATTCTTTAACTTCTTATCATTATGACAGTTGTATTAGGTAATAAAAAGAAAATAAGAAAGACTAAGAATAAGATAAAATCTCAAATTTGAAATAACGTCTTGGATACAAAGAACTCTTTAGATTATAGAATCTGGATTTTTAAAAAAAACAACCAACCAAAGCAAAAAAAAACCAGAAAAACAACGAAAAAAGTTAAATGGCTAGAATTTAACTTATTAAGTAAATTTAGCAGTCGAACAGGAAGGATTTCTTTTAGAAAAATGATGGTTATTTGAGGTATGTTTTCATTATATCAAAATATCAGTGTGTCGTAACTATATCTTTTCATATCACAGTAATACCTGTTTTCCTCAGACAAATCCACCTTAGGGTTGTCAGTGAATAAACTCTGTGTCCTTGCATATTTGTGTCAGGAATGTATCTGTCGGTAACCTTCTTAATATGTCTTGTGATGTTTACAGAGTCTAACCTGTCTTTGTTTTTCAGGTTTATAGATTTTAGTAGCAAATACATTTGTATTCCAGGGAAATGCCAGAAATGATACTTAACATTGCTCATATCTTAATGGAAATTCTATTTTATAGATTCCAGTGGAGTTGGATCTGAATTTTAAAGTTATCATTATGCTTTTGTTTTAGTCTTGACACAATAAATCAAACGGGAACCTATGTGTACTGTCATTTTTAAGACAGTTGGGAATGTTTCCACTGACTCTTACTGAAGTAATGTAGTTTAGAATGGACATTCACATGGATAGGATTTACAGGGATCAGGTCTTCTGCATGACTAGCCACTGAGATAGAGAGTGCCTAGTAAAATGTTATAGCATGAATCATTTGTAAAGGTGTGGACTATTTATAAAGGAGAATGAGATTACCTGTTAAAAATAATTGTTTTCAAGTAATGGTGATATTCTCCCCAATGATTGCCTGGAGCAATAGTTGAAGATGTTTAATTATTTAAAATATGGGACTGGATTAAATTTTAAAATCTATTTTTGAGACTTCCCAATTTTATAGAAGTTTCTTGTTTTGACTAAATTCTTGTATTTTTTTTTTTTCCTCAAAAACATTTTTTTTTGGTAAGCTCTTTTTTTTTTTTTTTTAATAATTTATTTATTGAGGAATGCAGGTTCCCAGCACACTGGAGAATTTTTTGATAGACTTTTAGACAGCAGGTCCCATTGTGGTGCTGTTTAAAATGATGAAAATTATTGCAGATATGTTCCTTTAGGAAACATTACAGATTTTGGTCTTGGGAGTATTTTGCATGTCTGCATTTTTTGGATGCTTTGACGGGAAAAAAAAGTCTTTATGAAATAGGGTAAAGGCTATACTAAGCATGTAACACTTATTTTTGGCTGACATTACCAGCTTTTTGGCCAAGGTAACCAGGTGGCTAATTAAACCTGGGAATTTAATGAAATAGTGTGATTTTTCTATAGCTATCAGAGATGAAAGCATTGGAGTTCAGACAACGGTTACACACTACTGTAAAATCTGAAAGATACATATATGCAGAAACTAAATGATAATATTTATTCTAGAAAGTTGGACTGAAGGAATCAAAGGGAGTTAGAACTATGAGATCAATTTGTACGCTGTTCCAGATGAACAAGAAAAAGCCACAAATGAAGTAAAGCTAGTCATTACAATTAGAAATATTAATAACAGCAAGTACTAAGTGCTGCTACTGTTTTGATATTTGTCTTTTTGTTAATCAAGGAGCTGGGTATCAGTATCCAGGATACTGCTGTCTGTTTCTTTCAAAAACGTTTCAACTAAAAAAAAATAAATAAAATAGAGCAAAAAATAGGGTCTCTAGGTTCTTTGGTTCAGACTTCATAAAAGACAAAGCTGTAAGGCTCTATAAGAATTTTTTGTCTTTTTCCCTTCATCTGCCCTGTTTGGATCTGTGATATTCTTATATACCTAAAGATTTAGCAGTTATAGTTTGATGGTTCTTCAGCAGTATTAGAAAGTAGAGCTTCTACAGTTTACTGATTCCTGTGTTGGCTGTCTAAGCCATTTTACTGGAAAAGTTGTTGGATGCTGAGGGAAACAGATGTAGGCATTGCTCAGAACATCATTTCTTTAAGGTCACTGTAAAAGAATATATAGCAAGCTTCAAAATGAGCTGTAACAATGTGGAAAATCAGCTGCGGATTTCATCTGAGTGCTTTGGGGCAGTTAGACTATCAAGCAAAGCATACTTCTGCATATGTTTTAGTACCTGAATATGATTAGTGTGTGATGGTAAGATCAGTTCTACTGCCCAGACCCCCCGCAGCATACATTTCACATTTTGAAGGTGTACATCTTTAACAGTAATATTTTATTTTATTCTGTCTAATGAACTTTGTGGTCTTACAGCTTTAAGTTGAAAAAGTGTAGCAGAACACAGTAAACTAATTCCTCGTGATAAAGAGTAGTGTAGACTCAACTATGTGCACCAGCATAGCTAATAAACTCTGTGGATATTTTGTACCTTATATGGTAATATGATATTTTGTGACAATTCTGTACTGTTCTCAAATATTATTCTATTTCTTGTGCATAATTTTTAGTTAGTCTGATCTTCTATTTTATTCAGAAGTATTTCAGAAGCAGAGCCGTGTGAAAAAATACCAGAGCAAACATACTAGAAAAAATACACTGGATTATGGACTATGTTGATGTATAATTGGTATATTTGCTGTTTAAAAAAAAAGAGTGGGGAATGTAGTCTTGTATTTATTTCTCTCAAGAGCTCCTCCTGTACCTTTAAAGAAGGCCTAAAAAAACCCTACTAAGGATTTTTAACTGTAGCATTTTCTTTTCATTTCCATAGGCATGTAGTCAGTTGTGGAAGAGAGAGAGGCTAGGATACAGCTTTCTTTTATTTCCTTCTCGTCAAGATTTTGCATATCACAGGCACCAGATGTTTTCCTTTGCAGCTTTACCATGCCCTACTTTTCAGTGTGGCATTAGATAGAAACTGAAATGGGAAGTTGTGAGAGGGAAGGGTGATGAAAGAAGCAGTTAGCGTTGGCATAAAATTGAACTTCTTACAGAGATTAAATATAAATTAATCTATCATTTACTCAGCATTAGGTTGGAAACCATTTTATATTTTAACAGCACAAAGTCATATTACACCACCAAAATTTCTGCCAAATACCACATTTCTATATGATGTTTTGAAAGTAATTTTTTCTGATACTCATTTTGGTTATATGCTGATTAGGTCAATGTTTATAATTGTTACATGGACCCATGTCACATGGAAGAGAACTGATTTTCACCTGGAGTTGCACAGAGCATCTAATATGTATTTGAATACTTGATTGAGAAAGACACAGGGCATCACTCTAAAAGTCTTGAAGATACTTAACCATTCTTAAAACTCTGTGATAAAGTACTCGTGATCTGTGCTATACTCCCAGGTCTATTGAGGTAGGTCTCATGTAGGCAAGTTTCCTCTGACCATTGTGTAACGTGCTATTTATACTTTAATTTGGGGATTTGACAAGTAATTCATACTTGTCTTTAAAAAATATTGTTTATTAGCTTGATGTAGACTCTTTAAAAAAGCAGGGATTTTCATTTGAATTAGTTCTAGGCAAGTTGTAGTTACTGTTTTACTGATAATAGATTAGCTTTTCTGTTCCATACCGTACTTATAAACTTTTAATGAAGTGTCATCTAAGAATTTTCAATTACATGGTAACAATTATTGACTATAGCTTAATTTTTATTTTTCAGTATAAATAAGTAGTGAAAAAAGCCCCAGTGACAGGACAAAGAAACCAGCCATGGAAGTAAATATAACATGTCGTAGTTTCTTTCGCATAATAAAATCAGTGCAGGAGAAGTATTCTGCAATTTTTGTTTTGTTTTTTTTTTTTCACTGAAAATTGTAATGTGGAAGGAACAGAGACATTTTCAGTGATCCTTTTGGGAATTAAATAATATTCTCTTCATTTGCCAGAATAGGATTAGTGAGTAAAGCTCATTAGGAATTTGCACGTGACTTTATTTTTATGTAGATAAAAGGCAGCAAATTCCTCAAAGTCAGAGAAAGTCAGGAAAATAATATTTAAGAATCCAAGCAGGTAGAAAGCAAGGATGTTTTTTCGGTTCCTGCCAGGCAAAATTATTTTGCCTTCTTTCTTAAAAGGATGCATGCTAAGTATCAGAATCAGGAAAGCTTCTGGTAACTTAATGAATAACGTCCACAGTAAAAGATAATTAAACATTGAAACAATAAAAATTTAATTTTTTTTTTATTTTTTTTTACTGGAGTACAGCCTTAACAGAAGTAAATGTGGAAGTTGCTCAGAAATCTATTTGTTGATAACATTTTTTAGAAAGAAAGAAGTCTCATTATTAAAAAAACTAGAAATGTAATGGTTTTGTTATGTGCAAAGCTATCTGTAAAGGCGTCATTTATTCTTCATGGTGTATTTATGACCTGACCTTCTACTCCATCTCATTTTATTCCTCGGAAAAGATGTATTTATAGTCCAGGTTTTCAAAACCAGAATTTCACAACATACATTAGTCATCACCTTCACCTTCTGCTTCCTTTGAAATTAATGCTGCTTAGAGCACCCAGTAAAATTGTCCCGAACTCACCGAGTGTGTAAGGATTGTTGGATAATCTCTTTCTGTGACAACAAAAAATTTTCTTCATAGTGCTTAAAACATGTATGAGTATTTGTGAGCAAATGGTAAAAAAGAAAAAATCCTGAAGGCCTGAATAACTGCTTTATTATTGTATAATCTGCTGGTATTATAGCTTTCTTCATATGGTGTCTTGAAAACAAGATGAAGTTATATTGTTTACATCTGATAGTAGGAATACTTGTATCTGTTGAAGAATCAGTCTTGTGTTATAGTCACAAGTTAATTTGTAGAGAGAAAGAAGTGATTGTAGTCATTAACACTAATGCATATGTGTATGCAATTCTTAGACATATGAAGGACCAGAACAAGAAGGTTGCCAATCTGAAGCACAATCAGCAAATGGAAAAAAAGAAGAATGCACAGTTGTTGGAAGAAGTTCGTAGGCGAGAGGACAATATGACTGACAATGCTCAACATTTACAAGTGAGTTTATTTTTCAGTTGGGTTTTAAAACCGTCAGAGTTCACTTCTGTTTCACTGTGTGCCTTCTAGAATGTGTAATGAATCTCTTCCCACAAAGAGCTGATGGCTCTCTCCTTTCCTGCTGGGGGATTCTCTGCTGACTTCAGTTGCATCTGTGAAATTTTTGCTACTTAATGGTGAGGAGAAAAAACAATAGGATTTGAAGCCTTCTCATAAGGATTGTGTTTTGCTTATTTAGAAGCAAGTAAGTCATTATGGCTTCTTTTGAGAAGAGTCAGAAAACAGAAGGATAATTATCCTTTCGGGATTCTATTTCTATGCTTTTCACAGCATTATATGTACAAGCCATAGTGAGGTAATGTAATACGGTTAAGAATTTCAGCATGTCTGAGTATCACATAACAGTGTCCTGTGATTTTGTTTTATTTATTTTTTTCTTATTGGTCAGAGGTTGACATCTAGGTGATTATCCCTATAAAATAGAAACCAGTTTTTCAAGCGCATTCAATTGTATAACAAATTCCACCATATTTTCCAGTGTGGAGACTGAATGCAACAACATTTGAGAACCATAAGCCCCTTCCTGTTCTGTGTTTCTTCTAGATGTAGCTCTCAAATTTAAATTCCACTGCCTGGAAGTGAAATTCTATATCAGCAGGGATACCATCATCTGGTTGCATACTCAGATCATTTAAGGAGTGTGATTTGATCTTAAGGCTCTCTATGTGCATGTGTAGTGGGTTCAAAGGGTGAGCATAGATTGCCTAACAGGGTAATTAATGGTAAATTTAGAATCCTTACCAAAGATCACTTTTATCTTATGTACTTAGATGTAGCATAGAAGAGTACTTGGGACAGCTATAGCTGTCTCATTTGACAGATCTCTTACAATCATTACTGCGCAGCTCCTACGTCAGCACTTTATTTACAGTTGGAAAAAGAAAAAGATTTCCCTATATCTCTTTTTCTTTTTAAGATAGGCTTTGATACTTATTCCAGGAGAATTTTTACAGTTTGCAAGTTTTTAAGTTCAGGCATTGAGATTTAAAAAATAATTAGCTGATCTGGTTAAATGATACACTGTGGTCTAGGGCATTGGTATTAAAGGCCACAAACCAAGTTTGATGCTTGGCTTCTAAATTATTCTCCAAGATCTGACCATGAAAAACCCGTGAAGTATAGATTTCTGTAAACATCATCAATGCCTCCATAGCCAGTGTTCCTAGGCAAGTCTAATTTACAGCGTGAATTGGCTTTGATCTGGTTAATCTAATGGGTTTCTGGATAATTTCCCGTAGATGAAATTTGACCCTCACATGCTTCATATGCTACTGTATTTGTCATGTGTTCCTATATGCAAAATGGAGAGATCAGCCCAACACCTGTCTTCAGGCCTTTGGTGGTGAAACAGTATTTCAGAATCAAATTTAGGAAATGATACATTATTTATGCATCTGTATAGTGTTATGTATACTTTATCACCCTGGTCTTTACATACTGATTGCATCACCATGCATTCCACTGCACTAGATATAGTCATGAAACCGTACGAAGTATTTGGTCTGATAATATGACATATCAAAATGAAATTCAGTGTTGAGCAGCTACATACAATTAATGTGCCTCAGTAAAGTAAATGAATTTGATTTCCAAAATAATGCTGAAAAGATAAAGCTCTATCAGAGTGGTGTGATCGCTAGAGAACAGAAGTCATTCCTAGCATCTTTGATGTAACTGCTATACTAGAAGCTTTCAAGTTATGTGATGAAACTGGGTCCACCAAATGGAAGCAGCATGGCTGAACAGCCTGGATTTAGAAAGAGAAAACCTTGTCTGGTGCATAGCTCTTCTGTGCTTTTCATTTGCTATAAAGCATTTACATACTAAGAACGGTTTATGAAAACCAGTTGGGTAAAAAATGTTACTTCTCTGTTATTATTCCTGAAAATATTAATATTTAAATATTGTGTACTTCAAAATGCTACTGTCAGTAATGTATATATGTATGTGTTGGTGCTGTGGCCCATCCTATGCTTGCTGAGCTGCTGGGAAAGTGAAAGAGAGGATCCCAGCTGATTCTGCCTATTAGTAGGTGCTTTGCATTCCCTAGCTCTTCCTTCAGTAGCTACATGAACAAGAGGAGGAAATGAGTACTGGTTGTCTGTGTGGCTGGCATGCTGGTACAGCTAATCCTGATGTCTCTGGCATAGTCAAAATAGGGAATCTGCTGCTCTCTTCAGTTTCCTGCCATAATTAGTTGTTGTATTTCCTATGTCTAAAATGTTTCCTTATTTCTTTGGCTTATTTATTCCCACGCCATTTGGAACATTTCTTACTATTGACCATTGTGTTCATGCAGGGCTGGGTGTGTTTCTGTCATTGCAGTTTGCTTTTTTAGTGACTTGGACTGGCTGTCACTGCATGGATCACAGAGGAAGCAAATCCCCCTAAATGAAAATGGCTTATTTGACAGTGATGACAATGTATGATTGTTTCTTTCATAAGATTAAGGAAGATGGGGTAGTGGTAGCATTTGTTTTTATGTTTTTTTTTAAGAAGTTCTTTTGATATTAAGGAATCGTTATTCTCTGTGGAAGTTCCTAGGGTTTGCTTTTGAAAATTAGTCACAAAATTAATTCTTCCAGTAAAATCTCATGATACTGCATCTAATGGAAACATGTCCCTGCCTCACATGTTGGGAGCTTGAGGTTTCCCTATCATTGCAAGATGCTGGGAGCTTTTATTTGTTCTCCAAAAATGCCACAGTGAATCTTTATATAAATAGGTTGACATTGAGTAGTGGAGGTAACATGACTCTGATGTGCATTTATTCTGTTGATAGGGGAGTATTTTGATTCAGTTTTTCACTGTTAGGTTTTGTTTGTTTTATATGTGTAGAGTAGTTACAAATACTGTGTGAGAGCATCAGGTCTTGTTCATATATGACTGAGAAGTAGGTGGTTGACTGGTAAAAAGCCAACCAAACTCTAAAGCTCCAGTCAATTAACCTTGGTATACAAAGGGAAATTTTTCCCGAGAGTTGTTTAAAATACCCCTCGCTCTCCCTGGAGTTTCTTCCCAGAAAATGCAAGTTTTTCCTCGTAGAAATTTTGATCAAGAGCACCGTGGATGCAGTTGTAATTTTGATTGGTTTCTATGGCTTCCTCTTTCAGGGTGCTTTTGATTTGAGGCTTTTGTACATGGTCACATAAAACTGTTTCATGTATTTGGCATAAGAAAGTTGTTTACTGCTGTAATATTTAGCCACAAATGCCTGGCTGCAGGAACAGAACACACCTGTAGGTGTGAGTATGCAAGCCTGAGTATGCAGCTACATTTGTGAGTGTTCTAGATTTGAATTTATTTAGGCATGTGTTCAAGAGGATACATATAATGCAGTATGTAACAGGCAAATTTATTTTCTTTCCTACCAACCCAAGAGTACAATACCTTCCTCAAGAAGCAAAACAGAAACTGAAGTTCTTCTCACGATGTGACTATACACAGAATTCAAATTGGGATGTAAGAGTTGACTAGATGAATAATCTGACAGAGTAGAATATTTGTTCAGTCTTGATATTAAATTTCTGTTTATAAATAATATATAGAGTTATTAAAATGTTGTGACTGTAGTGATCGAAGGATTTAAGTGAGGCAGGATTTGTGGGGAGACATGATACGAGACACATGATCTACTTTGGAAACAAGTTTCTGAGAGTACGTATGCATTTGCTAATTAAAAATAAAATTAATTAGTATTTCAATAAATATTGAATTCAGAATTTAGTAAACCATAGGGATCTGACCAACTTTTCTTGTTACTGTTTATAATACCTTCTACTGTGTTTAGTAGAAGCATCCAATATGTATAGGCATCTGTAACACATAGTGCTTATGTCTATGGTGTACTTGTTACATTTGTGAATGATGTATTGAGCTGTTAGGGTAAAGTATATCCTAAAATTCTCTGGCCTGATGTAATGATTATATTTGTTGGCTAGCTGTGATAAGCTCGGCTGAGAATTCACGAGCAATTATACTAGTCAAATTACATTCACTCCAGCCAAGTCTCAAGTGCTGGAAAAGATGTAGTAAGAAAACTAGTATAATTGTCCATGGGCCATTCAGGGCAAGCTGAAGCAATCAGTTGAAGTGCCATCCGTTTTGTGCAGTTCAAGCAGGGACTGAAGCTCTTCCCGTTGAGCTGTCCATTTGTTTTCTGTTAGGTTTGAAGAACTTCAGAAATCTGTAGGTTCTTTGAAGCTTCAGTAGTATGAAATAGTTCCTAGGGCTTGTAGCATTGTGTATATTTGTGACACTTTTCACTATCTTTTCAGATAAAAGCCTCTCAAAATTGGCTCACATCCTACCGTCAGTGCTTGCAGGTCAAGTTTGGGTCTCTGATGGCCCCATTTCACAGCACTCCAGGGCTGCTGCTGTGATGGAGAGTGCCCTGGGATGCCTAGGGAGGGAATTCACTTTTGTCTCCCTGAACTATCAGCTGTAATTGTGAGTGATGCTTCAGGTGTGGTTTTGGGGGGTTATTTGGATCTCTGTAAAATTGGAAACATCAGGGAGCCAGACTTCAGATTAATTCTTGGGACTGAAGAATAGTTGTGAGGTTTTCTGCTTTTTTACTTCCACAAATCAAGGGCAGACCTGTGCAAATCTTGCCAGACATGATGGTCATATATTACATAAGGCATCACAGCAGGAGAGCTGGCCCTTGAACACTTTATCATGAAATTTTTTGAGAATGGTGTCTCTAACATGACTTCATTTTTTTCTTCCTTTTTTTCAGCTGTCTTAAAAAGATAAGCCTTTTTGAGAAATGCTGAGCTAAGAGTTAGACAGGTTATAAAGTTGTACATCATTCCTCAAATCTCTTTGCCGGATATTGAAATGATACGAGATGTTTATTTCCCGAGATGCATTTTACTTGGTTCTTGTATGGAACGTGTTTGTTCCAGTAACACTGTTACCTCAACAGAGCTGAGAAG